TAAAATTAAATGGAAACATAATTTAAATAAATGAAATTTATAAAATTAAGATAAAGTGCTTTTAATTAAAAGTGCATGAATCAAAAATTACTTTGAAATAAAATAGTGCACTAATTAAATTTGAAATTTCTGAAAGTGATAACTCTAAAACTAAATTGCGAATTGGAAACGAGATGAATTGAAAATGAAAATTATGCAATACTAGAATAAAAATTTTAAACAATTAAAAAGTAGAAATTAATATGAGCATTGAATAAATAAAATAACTAGAGCAAGATAAACTGGAATATTCAATAGAAATTGCAAATTAAATAAAAGAGAATAAACCAGAAGTATTGTAGCAGTAGATGAACTCGCCTAACTAAAAATTAAATGAACTGAGAGTAGGAAAAGAAAATGGGAGCGAGACAAAACAACAATTCTCATCCCAGGCTAGGAGATTATGATTGTGGGTTGTCCTAAGACCTCTATTTATAGGAGTTTGAACAAGATAAATTAAGCCTAAAATTAATTACAATAAAATCAAATATTTCTCAAATAAATAATTGTAAAATTTGATTGCATGGCAACGGCGGGGGCAGGTTTTGCCTCCCCGATCCCCGCCCCGACTTTTTAATTATCCCCGCCCCGATCCCCGTCGGGGTTAGAAATTAAGTTTTCATCCCCGTCCCGCCTGGGTTTCGGTTCCCCGCCCCGTCCCCGATTTATATTATTTTTAAAAAGATAATTACATTTATAATAAATTAATTTTACTATCTATTTTTTATATATAAATAAATATTTATAATTTTAAAATTTATAATAATTATTAATTAAATATACATTCTAATTTATTATATTTATATTAAAATATGTTTGTAAAAGAAATATTTAATCATTTTTTATTTATAACATTATTATTATAATACTGTATTTAAATATTTGAATACTTATAATATTATTATTATAATACTATATTCAAACATTTGATTATATATATAAGTTAATTCATTTTTAAGTTGTCATTTAAAAATATGAAATATATAGTTTATAAGAAAATATTTAATAAGTTAATTATTATTCAATTAGTTCAAAGTAATAAAAGTTTAAATTATCAATTCCTTTAATCCTTTAAAATACAATTATTTTATTAAGATAAAATTTGATATATGATAAATAAGAATAATAAGATAAAAAAATGACATAATAAAACCTAATAAATATAAATTATAAATAAAATAATATTATTTACTACTAAGATTTATGAAAAATATTTAGAAAAAGATAAAGAATAAAAAAATTAACTTTGTGTTCATCAAATTGATTGAAAAGATTGAAAAAAAAAACAAATTGATGAGAGAGATTAAGAAAATGTGAAAAACTGAAAGATAAAAGAGAGAATAATGTAATAAATTAATTGATATAAAAGATTAAAAAAGACAAAAAAATTAAAAAATAGGTATAAGAAAAATAAAAATTGGTGAAATATAAAAAAATGACCTTATATGTAATAGAAAAAGAAAAGAAAATACTTTTAAAATATTAATATTTTAAAATTTAAATATAAAGTCGGGGCGGGGACGAGGTCGGGGTCGGGGTGAGGATTGCATTACCCATCCCCGCCCCCGACTTTTTAAAGCGGGGAAAACCTGAACCCGCCCCGGTCAACTCGGGTTTTCCCATTCAAACTTGGGGCGGGGACGGGTCGGTCCCCACGGGGATGTGTTTAATTGTCATCCCTATCCAACACTGATTTGTATTTTATTTTTTATTCCTGCTGGCTTTTAATTCAGCTAGATTGGATTCCCGCACCGATTAATTTGCTTGATTCAAAATTTCTACTTGTAACGTTCTGGAAGTGGGTTGCATAAGCAAACTTGGGCTTCCAAGAAGAGTGAAACTTGATGGCTTCAATTTGGACATTTCTTTCCATCACTTTGACCTATCTCAAATTACCTCTCCTACAAAAGAAGAAAAAGAAATATGCAATGTAGATGTATGCATGTATATTATTTATTATGCTAAAACTACGTAAAATGCAACAAATTAAGAAAAAATGAATTATGCTATGCTTTTAATGAAAAGATGTTAAATGTATGGTTTATGAATAAAATAACTAGCTTAGAAAATGCTCTTAGATCAAGAAATAAAGAGTAAAATGACATACATCAAAGATTAATAACAACAGATGAATCAGATTCAACCATACTAGCATAAGATTTCAGAAGAGTAGATTTAACTTTAGGATTCTGGTGATAACCTTGAGGAAGTCCGTATTTAATCCAACAATTGTCAAAAGTGTGATTAGTTATGTGATAGTGATCACAATACTTGGTATTACATCTACCAAATTTGTTAGAGCGTCCCTTCCACGAATATTAGAGGAACCTCCATGAGTACTAAAAGAATTTTTATTGGAATTGTCTTGAAAACTAAGTTTAACAATAGAATCTTGAGAATTAGGAGGGAAAGAGCTACTGAATTCACGTTCTTGTTGGAGAGTCAGAGAAAAGATTTTAACCAGAGTTGACATAGGTTCCATATATATATGATTTGGGAACGAACTTGGGAGAAGTCATCGTTAAGGCCACGGATAAACTTGATAACGCAACTATCATCACGTTCTTTTTGAATCTTTAAGATTAATCCACAAGTGCAGGAAGAAGCACAATTGCAAACAAGAATAGTTTGATACTACGAAAGCTCTTTTGAAAGAATTCAAAGATGCGTATAATATTAAGAAAATGTAGAATCACCTTGTTGACAACTTTGGAGTTCTTCTTGCATATCAACAATATGAAATTTATCACTACAATAGAACGATTGAAGAAGATCACTCCAGATGACAGAAGCATATTGCATCCACATGATCGATTGCTTGATAAGAAGTGTCATCAATTGAGTAAGCCAAGAAATGACCATCTTGTTGTAACGGTTCCAAGCTCGTGCGAGGGATCTTGGGAAGGTGGAAAAGAAAAGGTGTTTAGAACAAACCTTTCTTTATTTTTGCTCTCAAGTGCAACGAGTATGTCATGCTTCCATTATTGATAATTGTTATTAGCAAGAAAGGGAGATACAAGAACAAGCGCAATATTTTCCCCAAGACGAAGAAAGAGAGGATTTGCAAGATTCATGAGATGATAAAAAAGAGGAGTAGGAGTCGCCATGGATGAAATGACGAACTGAAGACAAAAGTTAATTAAACTGATACAATGTGAGTGTTTAATAAAATTCTCATTCAAAGTGAGAAAAATTAGGGATGACAAAACGGGTTAACACGTTCTATTTTGGTCGCCCATCTCTAACTTGTCAAAAATAGAACGGGCCACAGACCCCAACTTGTCTCGCCAAAGTGCTGGTCGACTGTTAATATTTTTTTTTATATTATTTTAAAAAAATATATATTTAATTATATGAATAATTTTTATGTTTTTATTTATCAATTAATATTTTTATTAGATAAATTGAAAAAATATAATATTTTTTAATTAAAATAACTAATTATAATCAATAATTTAAATTTAATTAATTAATTTTTATAATTTAAATTATAATACTATAATATATTTATATACTTCAATAACATAAAACAAAAAATATAATATTTTTAATTACAATATTTTAATTTTAATATATAAATAATTTTTTAAAGCAGATCAACAACGGGCTAGGCAAGGTGGGTAGACGGGCTAAATTCACCAATCCGTCTAGCCATTTTTTAGTAAGACCGACTAACTCATTTTACTATCTCTAAAAGAAAAAAACATAGTCCAGTATAAGATTAAATACTTAAATATCAATGAAAATTCAAACAAGTCTAGTGTACAACAGAAACTACAAAACTAAAACGAAAAGAAAATATTGAAGTATTTTGTATAAAAAAGTGATAAACATTTTTTACATACATATCTTAATATAAATATAATAAATTAAAATATATACTTAATTAATTATAATAAAATTAAAAAATTAGAAATATTTATTTATATATAAAAGAGTATAAAAATATATAAAATTAATTTATTATAAGTATAATTATTTTAAAAAAATAATATCTTAATATAAATATAATAAATTAAAATATATACTTAAATAATAATAATAAATTATAAATATTTATTTATATATAAAAGAATATAAAAATTAATTTATTATAAATATAATTATTTTAAAAAAATAATATCTTAAAATAAATATAATAAATTAAAATATATACTTAATTAATAATAATAAAAAATATAAATATTTATTTATATATAAAAAATATAAAAATATAAAAAAATTAATTTATTATAAATATAATTATTTTAAAAAAATAATATAAAATATAAATAGGATGAAGAAAACTTGAAAATAAAAAATATATATAACTTAATTTCTAATATAATAAAAATGAAACGAAACAAAAATAATTACAAAAATGGGAAACCAAGTGGAAGAGACAAAACTCATCTCCAACCCGTTGTAAAGCCTACTTTTTCTTCTGTTTTTGCATTATACTGAAGGTTGAATTTTCTATTGCGTTACTTATCGCCTGATTTAATATAGTGCCTAAAACGTTATCAAGAGCCTTATTGTTTTACTATTGTGTCAATCATGATTTAATATGTAGTGTTCATCAAATACTTTTCTTAATCTTTGGGTTTTCCAAGTCTTCTTCTTATATCAGACAATTTAAAGGAATTACAAGTATTATAATAAATATAATTATCTTATGGTTGTTGGTTAATACTAAATTGAAGATTTAATCATTTGAGACCTGACAAGAAAATATTTGCAAAAACCGTAAAGCATAATGTTCATTCAGAAAAATATATTTTATTGGGGTGTTGCGAGAATCGAACTCGCGACCTCTCGCACCCGAAGCGAGAATCATACCACTAGACCAAACACCCTGGTACGATACCATTTTGCAGTTATATTAATTATTTATACATATTATTTTGTTTACAATACTATCTTTCCAAATCCAAACCTGTGTCCAAATCAATCAGATATTCTCACAATTCATCCAAACGAAAATGGCGGCAGTAGCAGCAGCCTCTTCTCATCTAATGTTTGTTCTTCGTTCACAACCATTGTCACCGTCACCTTCTTCTTCTTTCTTTTCTTTCCTCAAACCTCTTTTTGTTTCCTCTCCTATTAGTGTATCTACACCCCTTCGACATGTTTATTTCCCACCGCTTCGAAAATCGCTCGTCGCCCCTTCCTCTTCTCTCGTGGTTTCCCAAGACGGCGAGGAAACAGAGATTGCAAATGATGAATTGGAAAGTGAAAGAGGCGATTTTGAAGAAGCCCAATTGGGTTCAACATCGTCACCGTTGGAGAGAAAGAGGGAAGAGAGGCTGAAGTTAGAGGTGCCGGGTCTGAGTGTGAAAGAAAGGAAAGAGCTTGCGTCTTATGCTCACAGTTTGGGGGATAAGCTCAAGACCCAATTGGTGGGAAAGTCTGGTGTTACGTCCAATGTTGCAACCTCTTTCATTGAGACCCTTGAAGCCAATGAACTTCTCAAGGTGTGAATCAATTACTTTCATTGAGACCCTTGTTTAATTGGTTCACTGTCAGTGGAGCTTTCTTGTGGTTAGCTGGTGTAACTGCCATTTTGCATGATTTCATGTTGTGATTTAGGATTGTTGGACCCGTTGATGGTATTTGATAGTTGTGTTTTCTTTTTGCCTGACTGATTATTTGAATGTTTTTCATAAACTTCAGTGTTCTACATAAATTAGTTGATATATGGTGTGTCTGGATGCATTCTTTCACTTATGTCTGTGTGGATTTTATCTCAACTGGTCACTGCGTTCGGTTGCTGAGACTGCAGACACTTATCTTTTAGCTCAGATAAATGTTTATGTTATTGTGTCTTCATCTTTTGTTTCATCTTGCTTTGTGTAAAGATTTTCAAAGTCTTGGATCATAACTTGGATTTCGCATGGCATTTACAGATTAAAATACATAGGAGCTGTCCAGGTGAGTTAGATGATGTGGTGAAGCAATTGGAAGAAGCAACTGGTTCGGTGGCTGTTGGTCAGATTGGTCGAACTCTGATTATTTACAGGCCCAGTGTCTCCAAATTGAAAGCGGAAGAAAAGAAGAAACAAGTTCGTAGCGTTATTCTGAAAAAGCAACTAAAACCAAGACTGGTAAACAAGGTAAATGATGTGCCGTTATGTTGTTTTGCATAACTATTGTGTTCAATTTCTGTTTCCCTAACCTAATGCTCTTGTGAAACTGCAGAGTAGGGATCAAGTACAGAAATTTTCGCGGCCTGGTTCATCATGGAAAGGAAGAAAAAATAGGTCATAAATCACATTCTAATAATGTTGAGGTTCCTGGTGCTTTGCCTGAACAAGCTTGAGGCTGTTGCATGCATAAAAACCGAAGGTCGTTTGGTCAGAAGAAAATGCTGTTAAAGCTCGTTTTGAATCAAAGAATGCTTCAATTCGATGATAGAATATGGCTGTGACCACAGCTGGAGAGCATAACGATGATAAAGACCAAATCAGTAGATTCTGCCGCGATGAATATATTGTATTTGCAATTATTCTTGATCTGAAATGTTGTACACACTGTGTTGGAAATAACTTAGTAACCTTGATAAATGCATTTCTTTTCAACGAACAATCTTTTGTTGGTAACAAGAGACATCTTTTACTATAAGAAACAGATAAAAAATTATTGGAAAACTGCAATTAATGTGGCCGCGCATTCTTGTTCAATTAGGAGTATTGAAAGTTTGAGGGAGCGAGTAACTTGCTGTGTATTGTATTACAATGGTAATGTAATATAGAATGTAGTTAGTTTCATGGTAGATTTTGTAGTTTTACGTTAGAATTACTTGCAATTGAAACTTCTGTTATTTCAGGCACATGAAAAAAGTTGATAAAGTCTAGAATTAAATGAATTAAAACAATTTTAAATAGTTTAACTTAAATAAAAAAAAATGATACTAAGTTTTGCTACAAATTTCTTTTTAAAATAAAGATATCCATACATGAAATACATAGTTTCAAATCAATTTTAACTAAAATCAATTTTAGCAAATGCATAGAATGGTATTCATATTTCATAAAACCAAGGTCACAAGCTAAGTGGTTAGCTTTCTTAGCTTCTGCTGGCCTGTATTTCCCGAGTATAAAATGCCCTTGGGAGAAAGAAGGCGCTGCAGGGCAATTGAAAACCGAGCCTAACAAGCATAAAAGAAATTGCAGATCAGAATACTTGAAGAACTAGTGCTTTCAACTAAATTCAAGCTCAAGGTCTTATTCTTACCCATTGAAATATTGCGAGGGAAAACCAGCAGCCTAGTAAACCAAATCTACTACTCATGGCCTGGGCATCACAAAAAATTGGTTGTTTCAGGCAAAATTGGGCAACCAAGATTACTATGTGAGCCAAGAGCTTAAGGAAGGTAAGTTACCCATAATACTATTGAACCCACGCAAAAGCATCCAGTCATTGACAAACTTATAAATCTCAGATCCCGCCCAGCCTGCACGAGTAAACATACTAAAGTTACATAGCAGTTGTTATGTCACGCGCAGGTCCCTGTTTTAAACGAGCAATATAAAAAAGTCTAAATGGCCTTTTTATCCCACTACTGTGTTACTTTCTTAAATTTTGCCTCACTATTATCTTCTGTGTCAATTTGATTTTTTTTTTTCAAAATGAATCAATTAAGTTTCTTTTATTAATTCTATTAAATTGTTTAATAATAAATGTCACATGATGTTGACGTGTCATTAACATATATGTTAATATATCAATCACATCATAAAAAATATATCAGATTACCCAGATTTATTAATGACATTAACAAGTATTATCACGTCAACATCATATAACATATTTTCTTAGTATCTTAAAGTAATTGACAGAAGAGGTCAAATTGATTCCCTTTTAAAAAAAAGTGGGAACAAATTGAATCGGAAAATAATGAGATGAAGTTGAAAAAAGTAAAAATAAAAATAAAAAATAATAGTGGGACAAAAAAAACTTTTTTAGCCTAGAAATAAAGCAAGTTTGACTGTTGTGTTGGGAGTAAAATAGCTTGACTGATCACTTTTAGCTTATTTTAATAAGCTTCTTAACAAAGTTTACTAGAACAAGTACTGCCTAGTTTATTTCAATAAGTTTTATACTCAAATTTATAACATAAACTCTCATGATAAGAGCTTATAAAATAAACGCTTCACCATACTGTTTAACACAGACATCAAAGTCCTTGAACACCCTTCAAGAGAACACTGAAAAAAGTTATATATGCTTATTTGTCCCATTTATATAAAGATATAAAGATGAAAATGAACATACCAGCAACGTTCCCTCGAGGCTGTGGGTAGGGGGGGTTATAGACAGCGCTATAAAGTATGGAATCTGCACCTTATGCATCTGCACGGTCATGATTACAAACACAACATTTAACAGTTATCTATTGTCTAAATTTGAAAATATAATAATTCACAAAAACAGCTGCATTTCAATTTGTTTTCCCTGTTGCGTGTGTGCTGGTCTAACCTGGTTCAGTAAACAGTTCATTCAGTACAACAACCTAATTAACTAAGTATTTGAAAACCTGTTAAGACCTAAGGGAACCAGCCTGCATAGTACTTAACTGGTTTGACCTTCTTGTATAAAAATGTAAAACTTCAACCTCAGGATTCTAACTTGATACTTCCAGCTTCATCACCTGCCATGCTGCTGGTCACTAAAGTTAGTCACCTGTGGTTGTTTATTTCAATTTTTGCATAATATTGCTTTTAGATTGTGTTAAATTTAATATTTATCTATTTTAATTATACTATTTGTGTAAGTTAAATCTATTTATTTATTGATTCGACTATTAATTTTTAACAATGCAAGACACATAATAAAGTCTTTTTATGTTATTTTAAAATCTAACCAAACATAGTTTCTATGAGCATAATATTTATTTATTACTCTATGAATGTGTGTAAAAATTTCATTGTTTCAACCACTGTCAAATACATAAACTCTGAACTATTACATTTACAGTTTTAATGACTGATCTGGTTATAAAAATATAATTATGCAGATAATAATTTACAATCATAAACTCTCAAAGAACAAAACAACCAAGGAAAAATAGTGATTTAACTTCTAATACTTGATGGACAAATCCGGCACACATTTTCAAACAAGTTGCAAAGGATTAAGCACAAAAGGGGAGACAACACAAATATGAAATCTAAATTATAAAAGGAATGAACTAACCTCCTGAATGACCATCCGATCAGGTGTGAAAATGTATGGAAATAACCAAGGAACTGATGTTCCAACAATCCCTAACAATAATCCAAGTATGACTCCGATAGTTAAAAGAGACCTTAGAAGCAATTGGGCCTGTTGAGATCATGATAATTTGAAAAAGAAGAATTGATCAGAAATGATAGTTGTTATATTAGCATGGATGTCAACCATACACGAGAGATCAGAAACCGTAGATATAAGGACAGGGCAGAGACCTTTGAACATCGAGTATGATTTGTGACATGAAATTACAAATGAGAAACACTGACCTTTGACAAACTCCGATTTACTCCATATATCAATTCAGGCATAAATGATTGAGCAGTTTGGGAGAGAGGTTCACCCCATACAGTACACATGGAATATGTTTGGACCATGACCTGAAGCAAGAATTTAGGTTATCACTAGCCTCGAATTTGGTTTTGGAAAAAGCTCAGATAGCAGACAAAGAAAGGAATAATAAAAAAACAGGAGACAGAAGTACAACTAACTTGATGTGCAGCCATTGTATGTGTACCCATTGATGTAGCAAAATATATAAGCAGTGAGTAGAAAGCCACCTAAATATTAGAACTTAAGATCACATTAAAAGCTTAAATTATTCCAGACAAAGCAACAAAGTTAATATAGTACTGGAGACAACCTTTGACATCATTGTCATAAATACAGGAGCAGCAAGCCCAAATATCATCAGAAGTTCCTTCCCTGAAGGAATGGAGAACGCAAGTGCATTATATCCCTTTTTGTTAAGAGTTTGAATCATCATGTAAGCAGCAACAACCTGAAATCAGTATGAGAATAGAAAAACATATATAACGAGTTAGAGCAAGTACTTTAACAGTAGATAGAGCCATATATACTATTCAATACATTACAATGCATAAGGGTTAGCTCAGCATACTTGTGAAATCATTGTAGCCCACGCTGCCCCTACAATTCCATAGCCTAACCAGTTGCACAAAACTATGCAACCAATGATATTTATAACAGTAGCAGCAGCCAAAGACTTCAAGGGTCCCAAGGAATCTTTCATACCAAGACTACAGAATGTGAAATTAAATTAATAAGCCAATGCTCGCTATTTTTCTGAAATCGATCAAAGCAATCATTGACATTTGGTATTATATTAAACTCTGGCAATTGTAAGGGCGACCTAAAAAAGGTTGTTTACACAGTTTAGAAAGAGGAAACTTACTTTGTTCAAAATACAAGATACCGACAATATATATTCAACCTATGGAGGTAAAGTAACCTTGTTATCTCGGAAATGTCAAAGCAATGGAAACTTAGTCAAGAGTTTCCAACAGAATATCAAGACAAATAAACTATTATACTGACTAGTATTTCCACATGAAATCATTGCGACATGAAGTAGAATATCAAGCCTTGAGAGCATTAAGTCAGATTGAATAAAACCTCTTGCTTCAAAGAATCAGATGTTAGAAATAAAAAAACATATTTGCACCTTGCACTTTGAGAAACCCATCCAACAAGCAAAGCAGGCCATGCCAAGCCTCGGATCTAACAAAAACAGAGTAACCGAAAAATCACTGCAGTAAATTAAGCAGAGAACACCACAGTTTATAATCATGAAACATAAAGCAAAATCTTACTAGCTCTTTAAAAGAGTTTATGCGTTGTTATATTAACTTACTCTAGAATTGCAATAAAACATAATTGATGAAATATAAGAGGTGTTTACTTGCACTCTTATTTCCCTTTTTCATTTCATCTTCAAATTGCAAAACAGTCAGCTTATTTTCAATCTGTTTTTAAGGATTTCCACAAGAAACAGAAAAAAAAATGCCGTTTTCAACATTTCCAGTATAAATCTTTGAAAATTGGAAACAAATTGTAAACAAGGTTGCAGATTTGTAATTAAAAGGTGAAAACGGGAAATAAAAACACAAGTAAACGCCCTCTACACTACTTCTCTCCATAAATAGCATGTTAAGTAACTTCTTGAATTCATAGAATGTCAATTACAGTCTTTATTTAAATCAAAAGATAAAAATCATGTAGAAACAAACCTTTACATAACTGCTAGCTGCTGGTACTATGTGTGCATTCTTTGACCCAGTGAAAGCTGAAACGACATAAATTTAAAAATCATCAGTTATGCGATTGATTCTACTACCCTTTCCAGCACAAGTGAATTATTGTTATCCAGAATGTGTCAGAGCTCAAGTGGCTAAAGCACTGTATTTTCAATACCAGTTATTATTGCAGCACCAAATAGCCTTGTGAACAAAAGCATCACAACCCCACATGATAACCCAACAAAAACCAAGATAGATATGTGATGTTGTACTTCTTGTTTGTCCTACACAAGCTCGTGAAAAATTAGTATAAAATTTCGAAAGTGCAGAAGTTAGAAATGCAGATTGAAGTCTACAAGATTGTGTAGATTTAGTCAAATCAAGAAATATTAGATAAAGATGTGGTCATTGCATTACCACATGTTTAAATATTGCATATTGAAGGTTTAGGTGTCAGTATTAAGTTTCTAATGAAAGACATATATCAATCAATGTGACCAGCTCCTCACTGCTAATAAATGTTACAATAGAGCATTGTCCTCACATACAAGTTATACATAGGATCAAACAAGTGATAATATTTGTGAGGATAATCACAAAACAATTCAAAATCTGATTCAGCATGTATTCCTATGTAATAACATCACTAATTATATATTCCTAACAATAAAAACATCAATTTTTTGTTACAAAACAGCATCCTATTCGGCATCCAATAAATTTTATACCGACCTGTTTAGCAAGGGCAGTGGCAACCATATTGGAAGTGGCAATTGATAGAAACATGAAGACGTAGCTCATGTAATCACAAACAACAGTAGCCGGACCTGCTCGTCGGAAATTAAAAAAAGATAAAAGTGATATTTCCATAATTATAAAATAAAATAAAATAATGTGAATTAAGCGACGATTAATTTCATCCAATACCTAGAGCAGCAAGTTCAATGGAGCTTCTCTGACCAATAATTGCAGTATCGATGAGACTCATAAGTGGTGCACATATCCAAAGTCCGGTTGCTGGACCCGTAAACATCACAATTTCCTTTATCTGACCCCATATCCCTTGAGTCGCTAGTTCCTTTTTCTCACCGCGCCTCGATATTTCATCTTCTTTTTCCTCTTCGCCTTCGTCAGCGAGTTCATCGCTTCGAAATGCGCGAGCGGTTGCGAAGGCAGACCGATGAAATGTGGATGCTGAGGCTGCAGTTAAGAGACAGAGAGTGGGAGGAAGGGAAGGTGCGGAGAAACGACGAGGAAGACGGAGGTTTGAAAGTTTGAAATTAGGGTTTTGGCGGGGAGCGGAGTGAAGAGAGGAAGGAAGAGGTAGTGATTTGAGTTTGAAAGCCATTCTTCACTCTCTGCTTTGTCTTCACAATGCTAAACTGATTCTTGTAACCTAAAATCGTTAGGTGTCGGCAAATTTTGGATTTTTATTTTGAAAATATGACGTTGGAAATAAAAGCAGTTTTTTTTCTTATCTGGGTCAGCATCAGATATTGATATGTGGTTGCAGAATCTAGGGTCATCTAAATTAAATGTTTTCATCCATTTTGTTTTCATTCACGCGATCAAATTCAGGGGGAAAAAAGTGGTATTATTGAGAAATGAGTGATGTTATTTGCATTGCATGGTGTCTTTTCCCGCGCCTCAAAAACACTGACGTTGGAGGTGCATGTTCATGTTGGTCAATTCTGTCTCCATGATCTTCACTGAAGAACCCAGTCACAAGATTTGAACTTAAAGTCTCCTCGAATGATGGAAGGGGCACAGGCATATGGTCATTGTCCAAAAGCTCCTTTGAAAACCCTCTACTTGTCGTTTGTACGTGTCTTTTCATTGATAATTTTACATTATTGATCCTCCAAGGGCCATATTCCTTCCTCTCTCTCTCTCTCTTCACATTCTGTTCATTTTCAATTGTTCTTAAATCAGTGCAACTAATTTCACATTAATGTGATGTTAGTTGATTTTAAGTGATCAATAAAGTACATTATATTTAATCAATTTTTTTAAAATAACATAAAAAAGTCTTCTAGTTAAAAATTTATATGGTTGAATAATATGTGAGTTAGTGTAAACTCATTAATTAATATTAGAAATTGACCTTTTTCTTTGATAAATAAAATGCATAAATAAGTGATATTTGATTAAAATTATAAAAAAATGTAGATATAACAAACCAAATAGCATTCAATTATTTTTTCATAAATTAAGATATAATAAATTAATTAATATTCAATCTACAAAATGTTGATTATTATTTTATTTTTTTATTTCAAATTTTTTTGTTAAATCCCAACCCCATACACCTCCAAGTCTTCACAATTAATAAATGAGAAATAATTTAAATAACTAAAGTGAGAATTATTTAATGAAAAAGTAGATGAAAATTTTAACATTAAAATTAACAAAAACAGTACTTTGAGTCAAGTTGGTATACAAATAAGAGATTGTGTGAATGAGCCTTAAATAAACAGTAAAAGTTTTCTCTCTAGACCAACTTCACCAGGAGTTTTTTTTTTTCGCAAATTTTGTTTTAAGAAAATATGTTTTTATTTAAAGATATTTTAATGAATAAAATTTGATTTAATCTCTTGAGAAAAAATCCAACAAAGATGGGTCAAACGCACCTAAATTGAAGAGTTACAAAAATTGAGTGTTCAGTCCATTTTCTTTTGTTGACTTTGTTTTGTCCTTAAAATAAAAAGTTGGGCCAAATACTTTTCATGAAAAAAATATTTTAAAAAATATGCAACTTATTTAATAGAAATAAAATAAAAGTGAACCAGTCGTACCACAAAAAAATTATTAAAAGTAAAAAAGAGAAGTTAATATAGATGTTTTAGCAATCTTAAAATAAACACTAACATGTTTATAATAAACTTATTGTTCTGGAATACAACAAAACAAGCTCAAGTATAAATTTTCACTGTTCACCCCAATTCATTAAATATAAGAAAATACAAGGTCAGAAAATAAATGTTTCATTTCTCAAGCATATACTATTTTTCAAAATTATTGAGGGAAATATGATTATTCTGAATGCCTTTAGTTTACGGTTTACAACTGAAGTACTAATTCATACAATACTATTAAATAAATACAATTTGCACCACTTTAAGGATCTGAATTAATTTTCATGCTAATTATTACTGTAACAATATATATAGGTATTCAAAAGAAAATTCATTCATTAATAATATATATACTGACCCACCTTTTTGTGGACTGTCCTGAACTATGGCTTAACCACCTGCGGGTTGAGGTGACCCAACATTGTTCTGTCTTGTAACTTGTGTGATGAAATATAAAATATAAAACCAAGGACACAAACTAGGCAGTCCTTAGCTTTAGCAGCTCATACTGGTCTGTATCTTCTGAGTATAAAATGCCCTTGGGAGAAAGCAGGCGCTGGAGGGCCATTGAAAACCGAGCCTAACAACCATAAAAGAATTGCAAATCAGAGTACTTAAAGAACTGGTATTTAACTTACTATAGCCCTAGCTCTAGATCTTATTCTTACCCATTGAAATATTGCGAGGGAAAACCAGCAGCCTAGCAAACCAAATCTAGTACTGAAGGCCTGGGCATCACAAAAAATTGCATGTTCAGGCATATTGACCTAGCAATATTACTTTGTACGCAAGGAGTTCAAGGAGAGATGGTTACCCATAATACTAGTGAACCAACACAAAAGCATCCAGTCATTGACAAACTAATAAATCTCAGATCCCGCCCAGCCTGCACGAGTAAACAGACATTAAGGTTACAATAGCAGTTGTTATGTGACACGTACAGATGGCCTTGTTTTGAATGAGTTCTCTGTTGGGCAAAAAACTAAATAATCATCAAATTAAGCATTAGATACCATTATGATAATATGATACCAAAATATTAATTTAACTTGAAATAACAGAAACTAGATGAGCTCAAGAGAGTTAATGAACCACAAAAAGTAGGACTCACAAGCTATTGCATGGATAATGGAGGATTTTTTTCATTACTTGAGTTGTTCAAGGAGTTGTTATATTGCATGAAACATTGAATTGCAGAAGAAACAAAACCTGTTGGAAGCTGTGCAGGACCATGCAAGAAATAGACACAATAGTGACAACTTCAAATTTGTTGAATTTTGAAGCTGTAAAGAAGTGATCGTGGAGGTTTTGGGTGGACGAGGAAGATGAAGATTTGCGGGGTGAGTCAAAGAGGGGCACATCTGAGAAGGGGACGAGGGTTTAGATCATAATGTGGATGTCGGGGAAAGGGATTTGTAAAATTCAAAATCGCATGCCTCATTCTGCGTCACAGACTACATGGCTGTGCCATTTTTTGAGACGCCCGTGCAACTTTCGAATACACAGTTTACCCAAACACACCCAAAGATCTTAAACATCTTAGAAGGGCAAGTGTGAAACAAGAACCTAGTAGTTTTATATGCTTAGTTTCTCACTGATACAGAAGATAAGGTGAACATACCAGCAATGTTCCTTCGAGGCTGATAGTGGGGGGTGTTACAGCGAGGGCTATAAAGTACGGAATCAGCACCTTATGCATCTGCATGGTTACGAATATAGTAGTTAACAGTTATATATTGTCTAAACTCAAAAATATTATAATTCATAAGAATCTCTGCAATTCCATCTAATCCTAGGATTCGAACTTGATACCTTCAGCTCTATCAATCATCACCTCGCTGATGGCCACTAAGGCTTTGTCACACGTGGTGGCTGGTTTATTTCACAAAATCTTTACAATAACACATTTTAAATCATATTCACCAATAGTATTTATAGAACTTATATTTATTTACTAATTCAACTCTTACGATTAATTTTTAAGAGAGACACAAAATATGGTCCTTTATTTTATTTTAAAATCTAAACAAAATATGTAATCTAAATTAATAAATAAATAAACTGACCTCGTGGATGATCATCCGATCAGGTGTAAAAATGTAGGGAAATAACCAAGGAACTGATGTTCCAACAATCCCTAACAATAATCCAAGTATAACTCCAATTATCACAAGAGACCTTAGAAGCAATCGAGCCTGTTTGATAAGAAGGATTGGGGGATCAAAAACCATAGAAATGAGAAAAGGGCATAGACTTTATGATTTGCAACATTATAAATTAGAAACACTAACCTTTGACAAACTCCGATTTGCTCCATATATCAATTCAGGCATAAATGATTGAGCAGTTTGGGAGAGAGGTTCACCCCATACTGTACACATGGAATATGTTTGGACCATGACCTGAAGCAAGAATTTATGCTATCATTAGCATTGAATTTGGTTTTCAAAAAAAAAAAAAAAAAAAAAAACAGATAGGAATAGTCACAAAACAGAGACAGAAGTAAAACTAACTTGATGAGCAGCCATAGTATGTGTACCCATTGATGTAGCAAAATATATAAGTAGTGAGTAGAAAGCCACCTAAACATCAGAACTTCATATTATATTAAAAGGTTAGACTACTGCAGACAAAGCTACAGAACTAGTATTACACTAGAGACAACCTTTGACATCATTGTCATAAATACAGGAGCAGCAAGCCCAAATATAGTCAAAAGTTCCTTCCCTGAAGGAATGGAGAAGGCAAGTGCATTATATCCCTTCATGTTTAGAGTTTGAATCATCATGAAAGCAGCAACAACCTAGAAGCAGCAAGGGAAGATAAAAGCAGTGTAAATGAGCTTAGTACTTTGAGACTAGGTACAACCATATATAATCAATTCAATATATTATGATAAATAAGAGTTAGTTCAGCATACTTGTGAAACCATTGTAGCCCACGCTGCTCCTACAATACCGTAGCCTAAACAGATGCACAAAATTATACAACCAGTTACATTTATAAAACTAGCAACAGCCAAAGCTTTCAAGGGTCCCCAGGAATCTTTCATACCAAGACTGCAGAACATGAATACCAAAACCATCAATTAACATAATAAGTCACTGCTTAGCATATTTTTCAAATCAGACAAAGCAAACATTGATATTTGGTATTGTATTAAGCTCTGCAAATAGTGAGAACAACTTTAAAAAGGTTGTTCACTATTACAGTTATTTCTTAAAGAAAAACCAGAAAGAGGAAAATACACACTTTGATTAAAATATAAGAAATAGATAATATATATTCCACGTATAGTGATGCTGTTTCAGAAATGTCTTAGCAAAAGAATTTTAGCCAATCAAATATCAAGATATAATCTACTATTATATTGAACTGTATTTCATCGTGATATCATTTGCTACATGAAGTAGAATGTCAAGATTTGAGCAGTATCTCAGATTTGACATAAAAAATTTCCAACCACTTACATCAGAAAATCAGATGTTAGAAATAAATAGCTTATTTGCACCTTGCACTCTGAGCAACCCATCCAACAAGTAAAGCAGGTGATGCCAAGCCTCGAATCTAAAATTGAAAAAAGAAAAAGAAAACTGTAACTGAAAATTCACTACAGCAAATCAAGTGGATGAGAACGCCATCACATATCGTTTGAAAAATAATTAACTTACCAAATCTTATTTGCAAGATTCTAGCTCTTTTAAAAAAAAACATTGTTATATAATTCCTTTATCTACAATTACATGAAAACATAAGTTAATGAACTCATAAATTACTTCTCTCCATAAAAGTTCTGTAACTTCTAGAATTTATAGAGCATGTATTGCAGTCTTTATTTAAATCAAAGTATATAAAATCATGTAGAAACAAACCTTTACATAACTGCTGGCTGCAGGTACTATGTGTGCATTCTTTAGCCCGATGAAAGCTGAAAAGGCATAAATAGAAAAATCATCGATTATGGGATTGGTTCTGCTTAACTTTCAGCTCAAGTGATTTCTAGCTATCCAAAATGGGTTGAAGTACACAATGGATAAAACACTCCATTTTCAATACCAGTTATTATTGCAGCACCAAAAAACCTTGTGAACAAAAGCATCGCAATGCCACAAGATAAACCAACAAAAAGCAAGACAGATATGTGGTGTTGCACTTCTTCTTTGTCCTACACAAACTCATGAAAGAGCAGTATAAGTCCTGAAAGTTTAAAAAAATAAAAATAATTGATAAATCATCGCATCTCCACAGAATGTTAAGCTGTAGTCACTTAATTAAGTTCCTAATCACCAACATGCATAGATCAATCTGGTAAAGAGATTTGTATTCACTTGATTTTTGCATCGGCATACACTTGCATAAATAGACACGTAGAAAAACAGAAACATATAAATTAGAAGAAGATACGGTATCTAGTTACAATAATAACAAATGCAGATAATGAAATAGCTTATCTAATATCAAATAATCTGTTATTTAGTTGTACCTAATCACTCTCTATTATCTGGCTGGCTCGTTGCAGCTAATAAATATTAGGTTAAATTATTCATTGATCCCTAACTCTATGTTGTCCTCACATGCAAGCTATGTATAGGATAAAACATGTTATAAGACTTGTGAGTGACGAAAATGGCAAAACCGCGGGGCACCATCCTCCCTTGTAGTGCAAAATAAGAGTGACATAACTTCACTCACTATACTTAAGACATCTATGGTGTCAACATAACAGATCTGAACCTAACGTGCATCGTGCCTCAGTTTTTCATAAGAAGACACACTATCGTATTTAGCATCTAATAATCTCACGCGTTTGTTACCAACCTGTTTAGCAAGGGCAGTGGCAACCATATTGGAAGTGGCAATTGATAGAAACATGAACACGTAGCTCATGTAATCACAAACAACAGTAGCAGGACCTGCTCGTAGGAAATTAAAATAAGATAAAAGTGATATTTCCAAAATATAAAGAAAATCCAATCATGTGGATTATGCAACGATTAATCTCATACAATACCTAGAGCAGCAAGCTCAATAGAGCTTCTCTGACCAATAACTGCAGTATCGATGAGACTCATAAGTGGTGCACATATCCAAAGTCCGGTTGCAGGACCGGTAAACATTACAATTTCCTTCATCTGACTCCATATCCCTTGATTCGCTAGTTCCTTTTTCTCACCCTGCCTCGATATTTCTTCCTCTTTGTCCTCTTCGCCTCCTTCAGCGAGTTCATCACTTCGAAATGCACGAGCGGTTACGAAGGCAGTGCGATGAAAGTTGGATGCTGAGGCTGTGCTTGATAGGCAGAGACTGAGAGGAAGGGAAGGTGCAGCGAAACGACGAGGAAGACAATGGTTTGGAAGTGTGAGATTAGGGTTTTGGCGGGGAGAGGAGTGAAGAGAGAAAGGAAAAGGTAGTGATTTGAGTT